CTCTGAGCTGGGTTCATATTAAGTTATCTTGAAAATAAAAACATGCAATTCAAATGCTCACCGTTCTGAAGTCTCCTCTACACCTCGCATCAATTCGCTTGCCAGCCCCAGACGTCGGTACTCAGGGGCTACCGTAACTGCGGTCACATGGCCGTGCCAGTCTGTCTGGATTCCTTCTGATTTTGCCATTACGTAACCCATGAGACGACCCTCAGTAGGGATATTCACATTCAATTTCTGAAGTGATGTTAGTGGAGACCCACAGATAGGAATGAAAATAGAGGCATGGTGGGTATATGCATCAAGTACACGAAAATATATTTAATGTAAGAACGTTATCTCCCTAGGTCACGCAAGGTGAAATAAAGACTGAAAGTAAGTAATTACCAGAATGGAATAGGCCTCATGATGACGCTGAATTTTTCTCAACACTGACTCCCAAAAGCTTATCTTATCTAGGGTGGACTGCAGTTACGACCTCGTTTAGATCTTGTCAACAGCCCCAGCGAGATTCTACACCAGGTCATACATTTCATAGCATTTTACCATTCAATTGAACTACACAGCCACGGATGTCAGTGGAGCACAGAGCAGATGCGACATTCAAGGCAAGCAAAATCTCTCCTATATTACATTTACAATGAGATCGTCGAATAAGTAAACATGTGCTTGCAATCATAGTCTAAAACGTTAGTTAATATTTATATAAGGTTCAGAAACATAGAGTAATTCGTGAATAAGAACTTAGTAACCTAAGGTCGTGTAAGGTGACCCCCTGAGACCCGTGACCATGTAGTGGAATAGTAACATCGCCACGATACTTACGACCCGGCATCGAATCGTGTTGCGGATGCTGATGAGATTTAGAAGGTAAAAACAGCAGTCCATCCTAGATGATATAAACTTTTGGGAGGCAAGGCTAATTAAAATTAAATGCTATCGTGAAGAAAACTGACTACCATACGCGACTTAGAGAGACGATAGTATCGAAATCCATTTATACCGAAAAATTTAAAATATGAAATTGAAAAAATGGTTGGTTTCACATTTTGAAAGAATAAATAACAATTTGTATCAAACGCCTGCACATTAATTTTGATTAAATTGTTTGAATAGTGAATTAGTAATAATTAGCTGAGGCATAGAGATGACAGTGTTAATTTGAAGCGAATTTAGTTGTTAGGTAGGTAACACAAGTTGAAATACAAAATAAATAAATAAGACCATCCTTAATTACTTTATTTTATTGTAGCTAAGCTTAAAGAAGTAATTTGGAGTAAAAGCTGAAAGAACAACTAAACTCGACATAGAAATACTGACTCACAATTCGTCCGGAAACATAGAAAAAATAATAAGCATTGAAAGTTATTTTTAAAGTAAGGATGCACAAGGCTATTAGAAAGGTAAGGAAAGTTAAAAATCTATATAACGAATATATAATTATAATATAGCGCATATATAAAGACCAAGATGGTTTGGCCTTCTCTTTGGTCGCAGTCTCCTTTAGCTGTAGAGCGTTGGTTTAACCTCGTTTTCACAACTAGGTCGGAGCGACAGGGAGACCTTAAGGAACGTACCGATCCCTGCGTCCTCTGTCATAGTATTAGTGATTTTAGCATCGAACCATTGATTTGTACATTCCCATACTTTTCGCCTGTATCGTAATCAGCACTTGTCACTCTGATAAGTTATAACTCTGCGCTAACGATGGCGTCTCTCACTAAAGATGCTGGCGAAATGTCTGAGAAAGTAGCAAGTCTATAGACCTATGCTGTAAATCACGTATACAATAGCAGAGGATGCAGGACTAAGTACGTTCCCCAAGGTCTTCTTATCACTCCGACGAAGTTGCGAAAACGAGATTAAACCAATATTATTCAGAATAAAATTGGATTTAGGTCTACTTCAACAATTATATTAGATGGGTGAATATTACGAGCCATCCTATCAGGTCCAGGGAAGCCATGCTGGTTTTAAGAAAGAATAAATGAATCTTAAAAACAGCAACATTCGTAAATTGACTATACCCATCGTCGTTTGATTTTAATGGGACGGTAGGATGACACTGTGAAGACGCGTTGAGCAAGTAAGCATTATTAAGTCAATCTTTCGCTTACAATAAGTAAAGAAAGCTAACCTGTTAATCTTCCATTGTTAAATATATACGTAAAATTACCGGACTGATATCACGTATAGTAATTTCTATACGATATGAACCCCAATGGAGGTGAGAACTGGGAAATGAAATCATCCCAACAATCTTTGCGCATCAAGAACCCACGGATAGGGACATTATAACCAAGATGTGTAGTGAATTGAAAAGAAACGATCAAATAGCTCTACAAGACGACAGTAGTGATGAACAGGAAGGAATATACAGAGAAAATGGAAAATAATCTCGGGGACACTACAACTTATT